GGGAGTGATAACGAGAACTGCAATGCTCATAATTCTGGAATTGACTTCACTCTATGAATTCCGTTTGTGGATTGAGGTCGTAAACATCTTTTTTAGGGAGCTGCGCTCTCATCTACTTGGATTCCTTCTACGCTTTCGCCTTCGATCCAAAAGAGGTAATGTTCAGTTTCGATGACCACTGTGGTGAGAGGAGAGGATGGTAACGAGAAGGGAGGATGGTAACAGCTTAACAAGGTCAATTTGTTCTGAAAGCAATTTGGTCTTGTTCTGACGTTAGTTCTGAAAGCAATGTTGGTCTTTATTCTCGTATCAAGCCAGCTGAGGATTCCCAGCAGGGAGTGGGGGTCGTATCCGTAGCCACAGGATGGAACGTACTTTGTGTTGCAAAATTTTCCTGCAACACCAATGCGTGCTCTTCCTCGGATATTCACTCCAGAACATCGGTCGGGATTCCCCATAGAGAAGGGACGTATTTGGTCGCTAGGTGAGGGGGAGGGGTCGTATTCGGTCTGAGAAGAACTTTTTCGATGGCTGATTTTTCTTGTTTCACGGACGTTGTAAACGGGGAAGGGAGGGGGACGTGTTTCCCTTCTAACCTTCTAAGACAGCTTACTAACTTATCGTGAGTTTTCCCTGTTTCATGTTCATTACATATACACCTCCCTCCCGCTCGACAGCAAAATTTTGGGTAAAAGTAGGAAAATTCTTGGGAAATTCTGGAAAAACTGGTAGGAAGTTGGGGAAATCTAAGAAAGGGTAGGTAGGATGAGAAACGTGGGAGGTCGTACCAACCCCATAAAAGAAGAGGGGGGGGGGTTCGTACGGATCGACCAAAATCCCCATCAAAGATGTGCCTTGATTCAGTCTGCCTACAGCTTGTTCAAGTGACCCGATAGTCCGTAAAACCAGGACCCAGCATCGGAACGGAAGAAATGACGAGGTTAGACCCTCTCTTCCTACAAAATTTCTTGGAATCGTACGACTCCCCACCTTCTTCTCATATTCCCAGATTTGTTAAACTTCCTGTCACTTTTCCCAGAAATTGCCCAATTTTCCCAAAAAACTGCCGTCTGAGTGCGGGGAGGGGGAGGAGGAGGGAGGAGCGGGGAAGGAGTTCGTCAATGACTTATGTCAACATTTTGCTCGAAGCCAGATACGTCCTACACCTGCAAGAATACGATCCTTTCCCCAACGACCAGATATGACCCCCTTCCTGATAGGATTCCCGCAACGATGCTGCACCATGGGCACATTACAAATGCTGATAATCCAGCTAAGGGCAAACTATTATGTGATTAGAAAGAACTCGTGAAAGTCTGGACTCCGCCGGTAATCACATGTAGCCCTCGTAACGCAGCAGTATTAGCTCCAGTAAGCCCCAGTAATGTTGAAGTGTTTCTGTAACATAAAAAGAAAGAAGAGCTCAAAAAAACGAAGTAAGCGAAGAATGGGAGCCAGATACGTCTTCCTTAACACTTGTTGTCCTCTTCCCCTGATTTGGTGAGCGTGGCGTTTCCTCCAGA